TAGGGATATTGTAATAGTTCCAACTGTGGCTATTTCGAATTCTAATTTCTAAGCATTATTCATCTTCAAGTGATCTAAAGAAGGTATGTGAATTGCTTTGAGTGTCTTACCTGCCTGATTAATTTTGTGCCCTTGATCTCGTTAATTGTACTTAAAACATAGTATTTCATCTGCTTTAATTTTACAGAAGATTTTGAAGGATTTACAAGATTTTATTCAGGGAAATAAACTATGTTTGAAGAAATTAAAGGCTGATTATTATGCATTAACATTGTCATAAAACATTCAACTTCATAGGGCATATTGTAGGGTAGGAGGGTATATTATAGGGAGAGAATTTATAGCATTCTGCAAAAACTGAATGCATTGGGAATGTGAACACCACCAAGAATATCCAAGTGACTCAGGCTGCATTTTATTATTTACTAGCTTGATATAGAAATACATTCAAACAACTCTCATCTGCAGTGCAGAATGCCTTAATGATGCCTACCTTTCTGAGCAAATCGCCTCTAACTATGTTCTACATTTCATCAGTGGTTTTAAAGATAAAATACGGCACAGAGGAGGTTCACATTTTGCCTCTATGCATCAACCATACATGGCACTTTATACTTTCCGCTACCACCCAGAGAAGACTGGGGGACATCCCCTGTGTAAGGTCCTGAGCATCATCACTGACATTCATGTCCATCTACTTGCACTGCTCATCCCTCTACTCATGTAACCATTTGTTCATTCATGTATTCGTGCTTCTGAAGACTGTCTCTGGGATAAAAGAAAAGAAGAAAATGGGTAAGAGTTGGTGTAAAAAGAGTGAAATTACTTCAATTCACAGGCAGCAAAAATGGATGACTACATCAAGAAGCTGTTGACACTAAATGAGAACTACTCCAAGTGACTGGGCTGCTTATTACTTTATTGAAGCTGATGGATTTGGGTGAACAAGAAGATATTTCTGTCAGGACATAAGCAGTTCTTCAGCTGCTTTAGATTATGTAATACCTAGAGAGAAATTCTCTGCTTTTCATTAAGTTCAGATAATAAGGGGAAGGTTTTGAAATATAATGACCCTGTGTTTTGACCACTACCATTCTGGAAATGAAGTGCCGAGAGTGCCAGCATTCTCAGCCAGTGCTTCTGAGCAGTCTGCAGTGAAGCTACCCGAAGGGCCATGCCACTACGTGCAGATGGACCCCGGCGTGGGCTGATCTGGTTCTGGGATTGTTTTCTTTCCTGCATTCCTTTCCTTTTCCTTCCTCTGTTCTGTTTCGGGTGGAGGGATGGAGAACAGACCCTGTCCACCTTCCAAAGGGTTCTGATGGTCAGGTTTCTGCCTAGGATTGTATGGTATGAGGCCTTGGTTATCTCACTTTGCCCCTTTGTGTGTCCAGTGGCCACTTGTCTATGATTGCAGCTCCTGCTTGGGAGAGTCCTGGGCTCTTGGCTTCCTTTGGGTCACCTGGTTCCTGAACACTGGTGACACCCCTTCTTCTTGTTGACTCTCTAGCCCGTGAGAGGTAGAAGTGTCCTGCTCTTTTTAATCCCGGGATCTTCTCTTCCAGTGTTGGTTTCTTCACACCTCCATTTGAGTGTTACATTTCTTCCCCATAGGAGTTCCCTTTCTTGAGAACGCAGTTTAAAGTTGTTATTTGACTGCTTTTAGCTTAGAAAACAGCAACTTGATGCTTGCAGTTTCCCTGGTTAGCTTCTGGTGGGTATTGGTTAACTGAGGAAGAACCTAACTCGCCAGAAAGAGACTTTAAAATGCTGCCCTATGGCCGGGAGAACATGGCAGACAAATAACAGCAGCCACGGAGGCTCTCTGAGATTACCAGTTTAGAATCCAGGAGTGGTGCTGTGTGAGGAGTCCTACACGAGGGGAGATGTACCCCGCTGACCCAGGAACGAACTAAGCTGAGAGAAACCAACTGGAAATGCAATCCTGATGCTATAACAGGAACAGATAAAATCTCAGTGCAGAAGCTGGATCCCACACCATTGGAAGCCGCGATTTGAATTGCCTGCTGCCGATACTGTGTCCCAATCCACACGGCAGGGAGAAAGACATGTGAAAGCTCTGAGAGCTGGAATCGGCAAACCAAACAGTGTTGAGAGTGGGACTGGCAGGGAGCCCTACATCTACCTGAGGTGAGTGAGAGAAATGGGGACCCTTTCATAGACTAGGAGGCTCCAACAGAGGACATTCTGGGAACGAGCAGACTAGCTGAAACAGGACCCTGCAGTGACTTTAGTCGCATATTCCCTTCTCAAGCGGTGGAGAGTGGTGGGGAGCGCTTGGCCTGGTGATGTGGTGGACTAAGATCCAATAGGCTAGCCCAAATCAGGTCCCTGCGCCTGGCGGTGCACCCTAGCAATGAAGCAGTCAGTAGGTTGACCTGGAGGGGTGGGCCCAGCAGAGGCTGCCCATGTCTGTCTCCCTAGTACACTGCAGTGGGCAGGAACACCTAGCTGGCAGATTCAAACAAAGAGGAAAAAAAAAAAAACTGGGCCTCCTACATACGCTTGTATGGAAGGAACAAAAAGTATGGGAAAAGGGAGCAACAAGAAAGGGTCCTCAGTCTCCAATCCTGAGAACACAGATCCAGGAAAGGTAAATGCAAAAGAGAATGAAGACAGAAAACATGCAATATCAGACACAGCACCTATAGACATAAAGCGATATCTCCAGAGCCTCATAGACGAATTCAAAAGTGAAGTATTTAATGAAATAAATCAAGAAATAAGTAGAATAGTTAGAGAAATGCTAAGCACCGCCCAAGAAAAAACAGATGGTGGAATGGAAGAACAGAAAAAAAGGGGAGAATTGTTTGATGGAGAAAATAGAGAAAACATAGAACACGTGAAGCAGGTTCAAAGAGATTACCAGGAAGCTAAAAACTCTATTGAAAGCTGGCATAACAGCTTGAAAGAAACTAAAGATAGATTATCAGAACTGGAGGACAGATTTGTAATGTGGGAGCATGAAATGAAAAACTTCTTAAAAATAACAAGAAAATAAACAGCAATAACACAAAGACTAGAGGATGATAAGAAGATCTATAACTTAAGAATTAAGAACATAAAAGAAGAAGTAGGGACTCAAACAAATGAACTACAAAAGCTATTCACAGAAATAATCCAAGAGAATTTCCCTAATTTAGCAAAAGGTAAAGATACTGAGATATATGAGGCATACAGGACCCCAGCCACCTACAACCCAAACAGAACTACACCCAGGCATATAATAATCAAAATTCCAGAAATCCAATATAAGAACAGAATATTAAAAGCCATCAGAGACAAAAAACAGATCACTTACAAGGGAACACCCATCAGAATTACAGCAGACTTCTCGGCACAAACCATCAAATCATGAAGAGCATGGGGGGAAATAATTCAAGCTTTGAAAGATAATAACCTCCAGCCAAGATTGATATATCCTGCACAACGGTCCCTAGAAATTGTTGGAAAAACAAGGTGCTTCCAGGATAAAGAGGAACTAGGGGAATTTGCAACCACCAATTCAACTCTACAGAGAATACTGCAGGATATTCTAAAAATGAAAAATACCAAGATTCCAGAAACAGTGGCACAGAGGCCACAATGAATGGAGCAGAAAGCGAAATGAAGAGGACAAACTGACAACAAACGACAGAAAAAGAGCTCAACAGAAATGAGGCAGAGAAGGTTGGGTGGTAGGAACAGCCATTTTGGAGAAAACAAGACTTCATAATAGCTAGTGCTGATTTAGTATCATCTTGCTTTGAAGTCCCATCAAGCTTTTAGTCTTCTGTCTCCATCGGTTTTAACGTGTTGTATCTTATTGGATTTTATTATATGTGATAATATAAACAAAAACTTTTATAGACAAGGAGATTATACAGAAACCATTGTTCATTTTCTGTTAGTTGATTCTAAATACCCTGAAATACTGTCATTCTCTTGAACAGTTTTACATTGTCTTGATATGTTTGATGCTACAGTATACAAAGTTATACCCAAAGATTTTAAGGGAAGAGACACTATGGTAACTACTATTATGTAGAGACTGTCTTGTGGTGAAACACTATTTTGCTTAAATGGCTACGTTTTGACCTGTGCTGTTTTGTTGTTATGCCCTCTTTTTTATCTCAATCTCCATTTTATTGTCTACTTTTTCATTTTTATCCTTTTAATTAAGGGAAAAATAAATAAAAAATAGCAGGATATATTATAGGAACCCACTTTGATTTCCCATTAACTTGATTTGAAACTCTGTATTGCTCTCACCATCTTGTTTTGACTGATTTTCCTCTATTCTGTTATGCTTGATAGTACCAAGTTTGAAAGTATAGGCAACAACTATGAAGACAATAAGATTCATTGTGACGGCCATTCTGGTTGACTATTATTTTCTTTTGAAGTCCTCTAATGTCTGCAGTGTTTTGGTTTCATTGGTCTTATTCTTTACTGTTTTGTTCAATTTTATTATAACTGATGATATAGGCAATTCTTTTTAAGATAGCAAGAGTATGGTAACCATTGTTGATCACCTTGTATTTTGTTTTTACATTATGTATTATGTCCATCCTTTTGATTTGACTGACTCTGTCCCGGTATGTCACATTTGGTTTTACTTTCTTCCAAAAAAAAAAGTAATAAGAACTGTGGGAGCAATAAAACTCAAAATGTGTAATTGTCATTGTACAAAAGAAAGGAAAAGAAAGTTCTGTAAAAGATATAACTGCATATATATTTAATTGTATAAGATAGATAACGATATTATTGAGTTTTGTTGGATCATTGAACAAAACTGTTTGCAGTCTCACTGTTTGAAAGTCCCCTCTCTATGCTTTAATTTTGTAACTTCAATAAGTATTTCTAAGATGACAATATGTAATTAGCTAGTTATTTCCTACTGTTTATTTTTTCTGAAATTCTGTATAACTTGTACCCTTTTTCTGTTTTTTTTTTTTCTTTTTTCTCCTTAAATAAAATAAAAAAAAATGCTGCCCTAGGTACAGGAGATGTGACAGGCACAGAGACCAGCAGCCAGGACACAAAGCCAGGATTGGGAGGAGGCAGAATCCCCTGCTAACCTCGGAGGTGCCAAGGCCTCCCGTGTTTTACAGGTGGGATCAAATCAGACTGCAACCTTACTCTGATTGAGTCTCTAGGGAAAAGAGAATAGAAAGCGGTTTCAGATCTGCACTGAAAGGTGCTCATATTTCAGTGAATATATGAAAAAATCGATATATTTTCATCTAAATGTTTTTGTGGTTTATAGAAAATGTTTTTGTTATCCTCATAAATACCCCTGTCAGTCTGCGATCTGGATCAGTTCAACACGTTAGCACCAGGCTGCAATCAGCGAAGGCAAGTTTGGGGGTGGTGACTTAGCTCCCCCTGTGCTGAGCCATCCTCCATCCTGAGGCAAGATGGGAAATGTGTGCTGCTGTGAACACTTATTGAAACACTCTCCTGCGTTTGAACCCACAGGAAAAAGTTAATGAATGCTCCAAAGTAAAAAAAGTGAATGCTTTTGAAACCCCATGTTGCTCAGGCTGTTTGCATTTATGTCCTGTACCATCCCAGTGAAGGGCCTTGCAGGCCAAAACCGGGCAGGTGGGATGGCTGCTTGGGTGAGCAGGCCAGTGCGGGTGTGCAGTGCACGAACTTGTCATTCTTTATGCTTTGGAGAATTTTTTCATCATGAATTATTTGTACCGATTTCCATTATTTGAAGTATTGTGTTTTAATATTATCTTACCCACTGAAATTCTGTCTGTCACTTGACCTTTGTACCCCAGGTTAATGTCTTGCACCCAACATCCTCATTTTGCCTAACTTGGGGGATTATGTTAGAGATTCATGAAAGGCATGTTGAGAGGAGGGGAAAAGGAGAAGCAAGAAAAAGAATCAAGCAGTCTCCTGAAGGAATTCATGATAGGAAGACCCTAAGGACTTGAAAAAATCCCCAATGTGGACAAAAGTCTTCATAATTATTATTATGACAGGGAAAACTATGGTCCATCAAATTCAGGGCCCAGGTGATGAAATTTCTGAAGACTTTGAATTATATGGGAACCCCTGTAAAGATAATGTATGAGATAGCACATGAGCTTGCAGAGAAAGTTTGAAATTAGGAAAGTGGCCTCAGAGTAGAGGTGAATGGCCTATGCTATGGCTTGCCCTTCTTAAGAAGAGGCATTATCGGTAACAAAGGTTGAGGGGTGTCATTGTTGTAAAATGCATGAGATATCAAAGTGGACATTGCTCAGCCCATGCCACAAGGAGGAAACAGAAAATGTCAGACATGAATGGAAAAAGAGAAATGGTGAAATGAGAAATACATTATTTTATGTATGAAAATCACAAACTTGAAAAAAAAAAGAACAAGCCAACAAAACTTTGGATGATTCTAATGAAGCTAGAAGGTTTCATACTTTTCACATATAATAAAGCAATAGATCAAGTTGTTCCAGAAACGAGACTATTAATATATATGAGGTGCAATAAAAATATAATGAATGTTTAAATAAAAATTTGCAAAAATATGTTATAATAAAAGACAAATTGGCACTAATTCCTCTCAAAAGACCCTCCTTTACCATGATACTCTTGCCACTTTCTGAAGCAGTTCTGGAATTCCTCTTTTGTGAGGGTCTTTTCTTGGTTGCTTTTGATGTCCTTAACTTATTTAAAATATTTATAGCAATTCCTGTCAAATAATTTACATAATTTACTGGATCTGGCACTGTGTGTCTTCTGGCTCTTCACTGAAATGACCATGAAGCATTAACATTTTAAGCTGATTCAGGACACCAAGGAAGCCATGACAATGCAAATCAAGACTCTCAGGAAGAGGACTTTCAGCACTGCTTTGGAAGGTGCCAAGAATTGTGGGCTAAGTATGTTTGAAGCAAGTGGGGAGGGGCGATGTTGAGGGAGATTAACAGCAATGCCTCTTATTGTACCACAGTAAACAAAAAGGTTAAGCTCTTTTTGATCAGGAAAGTTTCCTCAAAATCCTTTTCTCTCTTATTTTCAGTCAGGAATTGAGGGCACTCACAAATGAGCCATGCCAGGCAGTAGGTGCCATTTCCCATAACAGCCTGGCAGTAAAGGCCTGGGGATTGCAGGGCTGGTTTCCTCTTTTCTTTAGCTCTAAGCCCCTCTTTGTCAAGTGAGGTAGAAATCTCACTGGGAAAAGATTCACCTAGCATGGAACACAGCTAAGCCCTCAAGCAAGGGTCCACCTCTCTTCCTCTGCCACATGCAAGGAAGACTGGGGACAGTCTTTGGACTTCAGTCCAACACTGTAGTCTTGTGACTTAAGTGCTCTCCCTCTTTTTCCCATGGGAAGCCATTAGACATACGGAGCATCTTAGAGCAAGGCAGGCATGCTGAGTACAGCTGCCAGGAAAGCCCAAAAATCCCAGGGATACAGTGCAGGAGGAGCTTGGTTCTCTCTTAGCTGAAAACCAGAGGCGCCCGAGTCCTTTAATTCATCCTGCTGTTGTCCTTTCTTTCCCACCCAGGTCCTGGAAGAAGTGTTTTGCTTCCCACTGACTCTCCTGAGGTCGCACTGATGTGGCAGCCCAGCCCCTCTTCCAGGGGACCCTGGTGTCCAGCCCTCACCTTTCCGTTCACTTTGGAGATCTTGCTCAGCGACACTCACGCTGTTTCCAGGTCCCGTTTCGCCTTGCCTCTGCTGCCTCTGCATCTGAGGACTCTAAGAAATATTCCCCACATTGCAGTTTTATTCTGTCTTACTCTCCTTCCTCTGGCCTTCTTCCTCCTCTCCACTGTCCTGTTCCCCCAGCTATAACATTTGTTGCAGGGTTTCTTAAATACAATAAAGCATCATGTACAACCAGCTCTATTGAAATTTAACAACTGTTACGGCTTGTGTCTAGATGAGCCCCAAAGCCTAATGTGGTCATAGGTGGAGCTTTTCAGAGGTGCCTGGATCCAGAGGGTGTGGCGCTGGAATTAAGTGTGATGTTAGGATCCACAGTGCGTGGTTACTAATTTAGTCCACTGATTGGTTTGGCATGGTTCTGGGGAGGCAATGGGAAGGTCTTCCCTGGTTGTGAGTGCTACCTGCCATGACGGTGAGTAGTCTGGATAGAAAGAGGGCTGCTTGATGCTTTTGCTGCCTTGTGTCTACCAAGAACCGTTTTACCTGTGATGCCTTTCAACCATGCCACTTGGCCTATGAGCCGGGCGATTATGGGCTGAAACATATACAATCTATGAACTAAATAAATCTTTCTTCCCTTACATTTGAGTAATTTTGTCTCGGCATGAAAAATGTAAGACTACACCTATAATGTACTTATGAGGAGCTCTACATAATTTGCTGAGTACTCTTGAGGTATTCTGTTTTGCCAAATCAAGGAAATTTACCGAAGTATTATTTAAGAATGTCACAAATAAACAATCTGTTCAAAATATTGCCAGCTTTCATGTAAAACCCCCCAATCTATGAAAAACTGCCATCCTGTAGAAGGAAGATTGATTTGAGAATCTGAAGATATAAATTTTCTTAAACTTCTGACATATGCAGATCTTGTGTTCCTACAAAAGGTTAAAGAGATGAAATGTTAATTAGCTCCTGGCACTCAACAGTTTACTATATATGTGTGTATTAAAAAATCATGTTGTATGCTTAAATATGTGAATTTTTATCAGAAAACTGAAAGAAAAATAAATATAAATACTTGCTTATTCAAAACAAACTTACAAGTAAAAATGCATGCCTATATTTCTTTTCAAATGTTTTCATTTGATTCTTCAGAGTGCTGGGTGAGACAGAGTTTGGCAAGTTTTAGAAATACAGGCTTTGGTTTGATATTTAGTAAGTATTTCATTAAAATCTTGTGAATTAGGACTTTCTTTAATATTTCCGATAGCATAAAGCTAATCCACAGGCTTTGGCGAGGATTTTGCTTAACCTGGCAGAGGACTTGCCAGCTAGCCATGGGGAGCCGTTACTCTTCTCTCATTCATTGCCAAGCAAGAAAAATTGAAGTCGAAGAAACGGAAAATCCAAACATGTTGAAAGCTCTCTGAGTCTAATATGATCAATCTGAAGAAAAAATCTCATTCATCTGACATTGATGGCTTTAAAGAGAGGTGGATGCTGTGAGGTGTGTTAGTGTCTCAGAAGGTACTGCAGCTGTCCGTGTGGCCTCCTTACCTGTAAACAGACTGTAGCACACAGCTTACGATCTACTGACACTTCTCAGAATGCTGTGCCACCTTATTAAAACTTTAAAAGGAAAGGAAACTATTTATGAGAGTTCCTGTCCATTTATAAACCCTCTGGTTATTTCTACCTTAGTCCTGCCAACGTGCTACTTCTTCTCAATGCAGGAGCTGTTTCTTTGATTAAAATGCTCTCACACTGTACAGCTGTACAAATGCATTTTATCACAGGGCAGAAGGAGACAGTCTTTCTGATGGTCTCACAGAGCCTGGTTTAAACTTCTGGTCTCAAACTATTTGCACCATCAGAGCGTCCCACTTGCTGTAAAAATGGACAAAGAGGGCAGAAAGAGAGTTAGGTGCCCATTCTAACTCTCATGTTGGTTTATGTGACTCAAGATAAGGGGACACAAGGCAGAATCTTTATAGCTATGATCACACTGCGTCACAGTCCCTGGAGGTGTGAGACCTGGGGATTGAAGACCTGAGGGCAGGGTTAGGTGTCACGTTGACCACCCACTCTGTGCTACCTCTGTGCCTTTCTTTCCAGCTTTCCTCCAGCCAATTCTTTATTTTCATTCCACTGCTGAGTGCACATTCCTTGCCCTCTATTCTGCTATGGACTCCTTTCAATTCCACAAATACTGGCTACATTTTATGGCCAAAGGGCATGCTGCCAACTAAAACCCACTTTTTTTTTTTCAAACTAGATGAATTGTTGAATTGTTGACTGCCTGTTCTAGTCCTGGATTTCCATCTTTTATGCAGATTGAGTATATAAGCCACTTCCTGTTCCTATGTTGAGTTCATTCAAGGTGTAGATGATGATGAATTCTGTGTGTCATCTTGGCTAGGCCATAGCAATCAGGTATTTGGACAAACATTATTCTAGATGTTTTTGGAGAAATAATTTTAAGATGAGATTAACATGCAAGCCAGTGGACTTTGACCAAGGCCACTCACCATCTGTCATGTGGGTGAGCCTCACCTGATGGGAGGAAGGTGTCCATAGAGAAAAGCTTGATCTCCCTGAAGGAAGAGGGAGTCCTGCCAGGAGATAACTTGGGACTGCAACTCACCCTTGTGTCTTCAGCCTGCCAAGTGTCCTGAAGACTTTGGATCTGCCAGTTCTCCTAGTCATGTGAGCCAAGCATTTAAAATAAATCCCATTGTTCATTGTGTTCCATTGAGTTTTCAATTCCAGGGTGGTAAGGAATTTGTTGTCTTGGGTACAGCATAGGTGACCACTGAGCGTTCAGTCTCATGGTGATTTGACTCTTTGACCCACCCTCCTCAATCCAGCACTATCCAAAGGAATCCCCTGAGATATTTAATTTTTAAAATAATTTGTCTTATATCTTTTCTCCTGCTACCCTCCCTTGTTCCTCCAAAACTTCATATCAAAGACACAATAAGACCTCCTTCAGCCCTGCTTTTAACTTACCAAGCCACAATCATGTTAACTTTCCTAACACTCATGTTCACTGCTCCCTTTATTTCCTGAAAAACCAGGATAAGCTACTTTTTCTGACTTTCAAAGAACTGCTTGGTATCTATCTATGCATCCTCCTATTTCTCTGCACTCTTTCCCCAAAACTTGCTCCCTCTTTGTGCCTTGCTTATGAAATTTGTTCCCCACTTTGAGTGTTCTTTTCCCTCTCCAGCCAATCACTTCTCCTGGTTTCCCACTGAAAGCTCACTGTGCTTCTTTTCCGACACCTCTGCTTCGCGTTGATGTTCCTCTTTTCTGACAAATGGGCAGCCCATATGAACTTCTCTGTTTTACACATAGACTCTCACGGTGTTCACTGTTTCCTATGTGTAGGTGTTGAATAAAGGATCGGGGAGGAAAGCACACACAGGTCCAGTGGGCACTGATTTCTGGGCTTGCTAAGCAGGGTGCTGAAGCTCCAGCATTATTGTTACGAAGAGCTCTCCAAAGTGAAATTTAATAGGCCCCCAAACCGAGGCCTGGAAACATCACAGACATATGTAACACGTATTGTCACCCAGTGCATGGAATTGCACCATTGATAAGCTGCCCTCAGCGCACAGAGACCGTCTGGCTCAAACAACAGAAATTTTTCATACCTCAGGAGGTCTGACAAGTACTGCGTTGGCCAATCTGGGGTCTGGCAAGACCACCCTTACCAGAGACAGTCTGAGATAGTTGTTCTCAGAGAATGAGGAAGAGAGAGGAGAGAGCAGAGAGCGTAGGGGGAGGAGAGGATAGGAGGAGAGGAGAGAGAGAGAGAGAGAAAGAGAGAGAGAGAGAATAATTCTCATTTCTGTGCAAGGGCTCTGCTTTCATCATCTCTCATCATCTAGTCCCCTCCCAGTGCCCCTACCTACAAAATGCCATCACATTGGAGATTTAGGGTGAATTTTGGGGGACACAAACAGACCATATCAATAGTGATATACCTTCTTCAGTGTTTTCCCCATGCAGTGCTTGTTCTTTGTTGTCCTTAAGTCTTATAGCACATTTTCTTTTCTGAAAACGTATTCAATTGTTGACGTATAATTACTGAGTAATATGTCCAAATTTCTGTTAAAACTAATGGCTTAATTTCAAAATGCATTTCAGGGTTTCTTCAGAGAATAGCACAGAGTTATTCTCTTGGTCATCTGAGCTGTTTACCACTGAGGTTTTTTCTAGTGGCCCCAGTGCCCCTGAAGTCGAAGGGAAAAACAGCGACTGGTACCAGGTCATCAGAGGGCCTGTAGACCTGCACCTGCTGGCACACACTCCACGGCCTGCCCAGCTGGGCTACTGGCCTCGATCAGTTCAGGTCAGTACAATACAAAACCGCTAACGCCTGGAGGGATGAGTGAGGAGACACAGACTGGAGATGCTAAACTGGTAAGTGAAAAATATGACCAACATCCCAAACTGAAATGAAACGAAATTAAACGAAACAAGCAAACCAAACTAAACCAAACTCAATTGTTGAACAGTAACACTAGTTTATGTTGGAAGATAAAACAGCCCATGAGCTCTATAGATTTAGAGTAATCTTGGGGATAGAGTCCTAAGGATGGTTGTGAAGAGAGACCCCAAATCCCTGGAATTTTTTCTGTTCACTGATTTAGCTTTTGTATTCAGTGACCTCTTGTTTTCTCTTCTCTGTCAAATAACAGCAAGATTAATGAAAGGCGTCACTCACAAGGGATACATAGCATCTTTTCTCTCTATAACTATGAATTGACACAGTTGAAAGGACATGATAAGAGTGATTTTGTCGAAGAATTGGAGGACTGGGAGAGGCTAACGTCTCCCACAGTGTGTTCACAAGTCACATGACTGTAAAGAGGAAAAGTACATCTACTACCATGGCCCACGCCAGTACACTGGCCTTCTAGAGACATGGCCAACACAGCTGCCCTCTCCCACTCCTGAGCCTGGCAGGGATGTGGCAAAGCCCCTAGGCCAGCCTGACGTGCAGAATCCATTCCAGGCCTCGGAATTCTTCATCATGTATTTTTCTCGTCAATACCACTCAAATCAATCCGCTCGGGCCAGCTGCCCTCCTGCCACTAAAACCTTGTCTTCCAACGTCTCCTTTTCTTCTGTCTCTCCCTCTTTTTTCTTCCTCTTCCTTACTTTCTCTTTCTTCCCCTCTCTCCTTTTATTTGGCCATTGAACATTTACCATCACACTGCCGATG